ATTCTGGTTATAACTTTAACTGGAAAAAATTCAATCTGCTTCCTTTAGAATTTAAAATATCTATAGACTATTGTAAGAAATTGCGTTTTACCATTTGTACAGACATTATAAACTACTTCAAATCTTTACTACGGTCATAGATCAGCATAAGGATGGTGGGGTACAGTCAATTAAAAAGCACAGAAGATACATCAGAGTTTACAAATAAAAATTATGAAAAGCTAGAAGATATAAAAATATATTAAAACAGAAAGCATATATTTTATTTTATTAAATTTCTCCCCCACCCATCTCCCCCCGATAGGGGATTCTATATAAAAAAACAAGAGTCTCAAAGAATCTAAAAGGAGGGATATAAGCATTAGATGGGTATAGGGAAGCATAAATGTTAGTATGTAGAAGCCTATATCAAATTATGGCAAACTAGATGCTCATTAAGTCTAGTTTATGGCACAGGTCATCATCTGACGAATTTTAAATGCTGCTGTGCAGAACCTGGCAACATTGTATGTATGTTGTAGCAGGGTTGGTATTGGTAAGCAACAGGGAGGTGTAGAATTGTCCTGTGTGCCCTGGATATTTATGCAGTAATGGTGTCATGGAATGTAAGAGTGACCTTGGAAGATGGGGGGAAGAGATGGTGCCTAGGCAAGGATCAGATAAAAGTGGGAGGAGCCCACAACTGAGTAACAGGCAAAGAAAGAAACTTAGAAAGGACCCGGTCTAACTGACCAGGCAGTAAATAGGGACAGTGGAAGATTTGTACTTTCAGACTTGCAAGATTCTGTTAATGTAGCCTATCAGTAAAGTAGAAGTAGCTCATCTGGTCATATTTCCTGTCTGGTTTACCTGGGAGGGCTGACAAATGATGAGATCAGGCAGGTACAAATGCCTCTGTAATACAGGCACTGGAGAAGCACATGCTCTGTTGTTTCTGTTGTCCAGAATCACCGGGGCATTGTTTCTCTGGATGAGGAATCTTCCTGTATCAGCCTTCAAGGACAGCTGAGGGGAGGGCATGACATCATGTCAGAGTAAAGGCCCTCTGGAGTTTAAGTAAGTTGAGTTTAGTTAAGTATGCCATAGGGGAGGCAGGGTACCCGATGGATTCATTGGTAAGATTGGGGTCCTGGCTAGATCCAATGGCACTCTGTGTCTGCTACATGCTGAATAGAAGACCTGGAGAAAAACCCAAGGATGAGATTTTAGTTGCCACTGCCTGTTTATATGTGGATTGAAAATCATCACTTATAGTTAATGGGACCAGGCCAAGGGGAAAAAAGGATAGTCTGAGCCAACAGTTGAGTATGGTCACCTACACTCTAGCCTCCACTTTCACGAGGCCTGTCTGTAGTCACAGAGTAGCATTAGAGACATATTTTGGGACTTGAAGGACTGATCTTAGAAATTTGAATTGTACAAGTTCTAATGATGCAAAATTGGAGAAGGGGCCCAGCTGGGCACCATAAAGAAGTTGGCTTGGCTTCAAATAATTTGAGTGCTACAGCTATATAGTGGCCACCTCTTGTCTTAAGGAATTTAAGGATGGCAGATGAGCTCCTCTGTGCATTTTCAGCAATGTAGTCCTGTAGGCTTTCCTACTGCCAGCAGAATGACTACCCCGAGGTATTTGAAACAGGAGCCCTACTCAATCATGTGGCCATCTATGCTCCAGGAGTGGCTTTTGGGGCCTTTTGGCAAATACCGTGATTTTAATTCTCTGATAATTGAGTTCTAGCTGGTCTTCCTTGAAGTAGTGTGCTACTGATCTCAGTGCTATTTTAAAGCCAATAGGTGTTCTTGAAAGTATTGCTGCATCTTCTGCATAGAATAGAACAGAAATGTGTCTTCCACTAAGTTTTGGGGAGTGAAAGTTTGTGTTGTGGAGATGGCCCACCACAGAAATTGAATAAGAGTGGGGCTAATATGCAGCCTTGCTTGACGCCTTTCTCAGTTTCAATGGCACTGGTGAGATGGCACTGAGGGTTACATCTTACTTTGAGTGAAGTCACTTCACGTAATATACATATTAAATGAAGTAGACATCAGTCAATTGAGGAAGCCTCTAGTTTCTTCCACGATTTAGCTCAGGATATGGAATCAAATGCTGCTTTGAAGTCTGTAAAAGTTGCAGGAGTATTTTTCAATGACATGATGGAATACTAGGCACTGATCAGTGGTGGACTGGCCTTCCCTAAAGCCAGCTTGCTCCTCTGCAAGTATGTTTTCTTGTTC